CTGCACCTTAAAAAAGTAAAAAAATAAAATTAAAATTAAAAAAATATTCATTAAAAATAAAAAAAAATGTGAAAAATAAAAAACTCGTTTTTCAAAAAAAAACTTCAGAAAACTGAAGTAAAACACATTGAATAGTTTTATAATTAGATTATATTTTTTTTAAATATATTTATCTTTTAAAAAAATAAAGTAAAAAATTACACTGTCGGATCACGTTACCTACCAAAAACAAAAAACAAAAAAAAAAGTGAAAAAAAGAAAAAGAAAAAGAAAAACTCTATGATCGGATTATGACAAGTATAATTTAGGGGTTGTTTGGGATGTCCTAAATAAGTTCATTTTTTACCTTTCTAAATTAAAAAGGTGAGAAAAAAAAGATAGATGTTTGAGTTAATTTTTTGACTTTTTACGAAAAAATGTGTATTAAAAAATTGTATAAATAAGTGTATAGGAGAAGTTAGTGAAGTAGCCCGTACAGTTTGAGCAGTGTAGTGGGCTGGTTAGGAGATAGGAAATGATTGCCTCCTTTTTCGGGCTTGAATTTGACGGTGTTGTTCGGCCCGTGATGGCCCACCACGGGTCCCGTTTTGCTAATCGAAACCGTTCAATGTGTAGAAATCGTCGAGTACTATATACTTGTAAAAAATCAAGTTAATTGGATATCAATAACTATCTGATCGTGTTAGTTTTTTTGTGAACTGTTAACTATAATACCATCCATTTTTTATACAAAACTGATTTGATCATGTAGTTAGCGATATCCGATCAATGTGATTTTTTATAAACATATAGTACTGGACCAGTTCTACATAGTCATCGGTTCGAATTATCAAAACGGGACCCGTGGTGGGCCCCATAGGCCCAACATTACCATCGAACTTAGGGGTGGCTTAGGATGATCTAAATAAGTGCACTTTTTGAATTTTTATGAAATATGGGTTGGGTATAGATTGGGTTTGAATTGATGTAGTAAAGAGGTGATGTGACTTAAATAAGATAGTAATTTTTTGACTTTTTTAAGACACCGGAAATGAGGCTTTAGAGAATGAGATGTCTAATTTTTATTTTATTTTTTTGCAATAAATGTGAGCTCATTATGTACCTATTATTTAATAAATTTTACAAGATGAACGACGTGAATAATCAAATGGATCCTGAGATGGGTTCACCAAAGCTAAATAACAACTGAAGAGAGTGTTTGATAATATGATTCAGCATTTAAAATTAAATTGATAAGTGATAATTAATTAAGTTCGTTTGATAATTGTAATTGATATCACTTAAACATTTAAGTCTATTTTAAAATGTAAGTTACAATTTAAGAAAATTTTAAATCACATAAAATTTATTTAATTCTGATTGAGTTTATAAATATTAAATATAAATATCGATACTATTATAAACTCACTACTATAACCATCACCACCACCACCATTATCAATACCGCTGTCACTATCACCACCACTATGGCACCATTATCATTACCATTACCATTACCATTAACATCATCGTCACTGTCAGTGTCACTATCACCACCACCACCGCCAGTTTCATCACCATTGTCATTATTGCCCTAAACATTACCATCATTTTACTATTACTACTACCACCACCACCATGCCACTCCACCACCACAACCACCACCACCACTACCACTTTCATCGTCACAACATAAAAATTAAAATATACAATTTAAAAATAATAAATTTTAAATTTTATATTACACATATCAAACAACTTATTTTTAATTCATCGGTTCAACTTAGTGAATATATATAAGTAATTTTTTTTTGTTCATTTTACAGTACTTTCCCATCAATTCAAGTTTGGAACAGTGTAAAGTTGGTTTATATTAAAATATTATGTATATTAATTTTTATATTTTTAATTTGTGAATAGTGATAAATTTTTTGTTTTTTTTTTTTAATTTTTTGACTTTTTAAATTTTTTCCAACATCCCATGCCTTAATTTTTTATTTTTAATTTTCAATTTACAGTTTTTAATTTTATCAGACACGGCATAAATTTCCAACCGAAAATAATTCATTTCCTTATTTTTATCAACTAATCTGACTCTAAAAAATTTGATCTAACTTTTAGATCGGAATAGTAATACGCTTTTCTTCCATAATATTTTCTAGTTGATATATGCCAAATTTCAAATTTTTCCCGTAGAGCTCATGAACAATGCAAAGCACAAAATTAACATCAATTGGCCGATCCATGACAATCTTTACACGCAAATACATACCTATCATGACTTCACCAACTGCTACACTGCCAATGAACTCGTACTTTGAAACCAGTTTTCAATCAAATGTATACGCATGTAACAGAATCATAGACAATAAAATCAAGTCTGGGCCTTTAGACTCTGCCCTCAAGCTGTTTGACGAAATGCCTAACCGTGATGTTGTTTCATGGAACTTGCTAATTTCTGGGTATGGCAAATATGAACTTCCAAATCAAGCTCTGTGTCTCTACAATCAAATGGTTTCCCATGGAATTAAAGAAAGTCCATCCACTTTTTCATCTGTTTTGAGCATTTGTAGTGACAATGGGTTTTATCAAGTAGGAATTCAAGTTCACTGCAGGGTGATCTTGTTGGGATTCAGTATGAACATATTTGTGGGTAGTTCGCTTGTTAATCTTTATATGCACATGGGTCTTGTTGATATTGCCTTGAAGCTGTTCAATGAATTGCCACATCGAACTTTAGCTGCGTGGAATTTGGTTTTACGTGGATTTTGTGAACTGGGTCGATCAAACGAGTTGTTGGGTTCGTATTGTGATATGAAATTGGAGGGTTGTGTTGAACCTAATGGACTTACTTTTTGTTATTTGATTCGTGGGTGTGGTAATGGGAGGCTTTTGGATGAAGGAAAGCAGCTGCATTGTTGTGCAATTAAGCTTGGATGGTTAGAATCGAACTTATTTGTTGTGAATGCTTTGGTGGATTTTTATTCTGCTTGTGGGTGTTTGATTAGTGCGAGGAAATCATTTGAAGTAATTCCACCCGAGGATGTGATTTCATGGAACTCAATTGTTTCTGTCTATGCTGAATATGGTTTTTCGCTTCATGCTCTTGAAATGTTCACTAAGATGCAGCTATCAGGGAAGAGGCCATCCGTTCGTTCATTTTTAGGGTTCTTGGGTTTATCTAGAGGGACCCAAAATCTCATTCTTGGGAGGCAAATTCACTGTTGTGTTTTGAAATTGGGATTTGATTGTGGGAGTGTTCATGTTCAATCTGCTTTGATCAATATGTATGGAAAATGTGGAGATATGGATAGTTCAGTATCATTATTCGAGGGTGTTCCTGAGAGAAGTCTAGAGTGTTGCAACTCGCTAATGACATCTTTATTGCACTGTGGAGTTGTGGAAGATTCGGTGGAGATGTTTGGTTTGATGCTTGATGAAGGAATTGGATTTGATGAAGTTAGTCTCTCTACGACACTGAAAGCATTATCGGTGTCTACTTCCGGGAGCCTCTCTAGCTGCACAATGGTTCACTGTTGTGCAATTAAGTCGGGTTTTGAATCTGACATTGCCGTTTCGTGTTCACTGATCGATGCATATTCCAGATCTGGTCATCTCAGACTTTCTCAACAGGTTTTTGAGAAGCTTCCTTCACCAAATGCCATCTGTTTCACATCGCTCATTAATGGATTTGCCCGGAATGGAATGGGAAGAGAATGCCTTGAAATGCTTGACATGATGATCCAAAGGGGTCAGAAACTCGATAAAGTGACATTCTTGTCAGTGTTAACAGGGTGCGATCATTCTGGGCTTGTCAAAGAGGGGAAAATGGTGTTTGAATCAATGAAATCTCTCCATGGAATTGACCCAGACCGGCGTCATTACTCATGTTTGGTGGATCTTCTTGGTCGTGCAGGTTTACTATATGAAGCCGAAAAGTTGCTAAAACAAGCACCAGTGAAGGGTGACTCTGTAATGTGGAGTTCACTATTGCGAAGTTGTAGGGTCCACAACAATGAAATGGTGGGACATACAGCGGCAAAAATCTTAATGGATCTTGAACCAGACAATCATGCAGCCTGGTTTCAAGCTTCAAAATTTTATTCCGAAATTGGAGATTTTGAAACCTCAGTGCAAATTAGAGAGCTTGCGATGGCTAGGAAAATGAGGAAGGAGATTGGTTACAGTTTGATTGAGGTGAATGATCACATTTACCATTGAATCCTTGGTCAACTGGCCATAATAAAATACTTAATGCTGTAAAGTTTGTACAACCTGTGGAGGTTGTTAGGCTGTTAGCCCTTCAATGGCATCATCATCCAAAATTTTAATGCGAACTCATTAAAAATTCAAATTCAAATTCAAATAACTTGGCAGATCGCATCTACTTGCATGCGTATACAAAATATGTGAGGAATTCTATCTATAATTTTATTTGTGATCACTCTATATTCTTATACTAGATACAAGATAGTGGGTCCCACTCACGTATGTCTAGAAATAAGAAAATTAAGTGAGACAATGAAAATATGTGTAGTATATTGTAGAATACATGTGTGTTGTGTGCGCATATATAATATATGATTAAATCATAAGTAGACAAACTATAGGATTTTAATGATTGCTTCCCTAGTCCTTCAAATGGCATCATCATCCAAAATTTTAATATGAACTCATTAAAAATTCAAATTCAAATTCAAATAACTTGGCAGATCGCATCTACTTGCATGCGTATACAAAATATGTGAGGAATTCTATCTATAATTTTATTTGTGATCACTCTATATTCTTATACTAGATACAAGATAGTGGGTCCCACTCACGTATGTCTAGAAATAAGAAAATTAAGTGAGACAATGAAAATATGTGTAGTATATTGTAGAATACATGTGTGTTGTGTGCGCATATATAATATATGATTAAATCATAAGTAGACAAACTATAGGATTTTAATGATTGCTTCCCTAGTCCTTCAAATGGCATCATCATCCAAAATTTTAATATGAACTCATTAAAAATTCAAATTCAAATTCAAATAACTTGGCAGATCGCATCTACTTGCATGCGTATACAAAATATGTGAGGAATTCTATCTATAATTTTATTTGTGATCACTCTATATTCTTATACTAGATACAAGATAGTGGGTCCCACTCACGTATGTCTAGAAATAAGAAAATTAAGTGAGACAATGAAAATATGTGTAGTATATTGTAGAATACATGTGTGTTGTGTGCGCATATATAATATATGATTAAATCATAAGTAGACAAACTATAGGATTTTAATGATTGCTTCCCTAGTCCTTCAAATGGCATCATCATCCAAAATTTTAATATGAACTCATTAAAAATTCAAATTCAATAACTTGGCAGATGGCATCTACTTGCATATGTATACAAAATATGTGAGGAATTTTATATATAAATTCATTTATGATCACTCTATATTCTTACACTAGATACATGATAGTGGGACCCACTCACTTATGTCTATAAATAAGAAAATTAAGCGAGACAACGAAAATGTGTAATATTTTGTAGCATACATGTATGTTGTGTGCATATATAATATATGATTAGGATTTTAATGATTGATTCCCTCTACACTTGCATGCAAGAGCTCGAATATGCACTATGCACAGTTGATATATATATAATACTCTTCAAAAGAGAGATAAAAAAAACCTTGATATGGAATGTTGTTGTTACTTGTTTCTATTGTTGAATTATAAACATGATGTGCGATGTATCTTTTTATCCTGTTTGGTTTCACCAATCGGTTTATTAACTCTTTCTTATTCTTTCTTTATTATTATTTTTTTTCCAACTGTACATTCTATAAGCATTATATATACTCCACATTTTCATGGGAGATTTTCCAAAAAAGGAACTTTTACTGTTGGTTTTTCTGACAATTTGTTATGAAGCATGATCCAAACCCCAGGAGGGCTAGGACCCATTTAACACTTTCACTGGTGAATGTTAGTGCACTGGACCACAGGCTGAAGAGTAAAGCAAAGGCCTCCAAAATATTAGTCTTACACTTGAAGTGTGGGCATGTAGAAACTAGAACACCTTCATGCACTTTCAAGCCAAGCCACATATCCTCACAAAACCCTTTATTTTCAATACTAATCTGCATATATAAATTAATACCCAATGCCTTCACTTGATTTATGTAAATCAAACAGTCTTGACAAACCACCTGAACCAATAAAATGGACAAAATCTTCTTTGTTTTCTTCGTAGGTTTGCTGATAGTGACTCACGGAACTGCAGAAAGAAATTTGTCTGACGACGTTGCCATTCTTGGAGAGCTAGAAAGCTTGAACATAGAAGAGGAAGGTGATATAGAACTTTTTGACTCCCCGTTTTGGACAAGTGAACGTGGTAACAAGGTTCTTGTGAATGTGGATAGCTTTGGAGCAGTTGGAGATGGAGTTTCGGATGATACCCAGGTTATTATGCTTTAATAGTTTCTAAATCTATGTAAGCTTTCATTTTTTCACTCTTGAATGCATATAAAGGCTGCAAGTTCTAACTACATTTACATATAATTGAGAAATCTAGAATGACCTGATAAAAAATAATTAGACTCATCTTTCCTATTTGAAGCTCTCAAGTTTTGATTGAATCAAATGTTTCCTCTCTTGTAATTGTTATCAGGCCTTTGTAAACTCGTGGCAGCAAGCTTGCTCTACATCAAAAGCAGTTTTCTTGGTTCCCATAGGACGCCGTTATCTAGTAAATGCAACAAGATTTATAGGGCCTTGTGCTGACCAGTTAGTTGTTCAGGTAATCTCCAAAACTTTTTTGTTTTTTTTTTAATTTTCTTTTGAGGGACAAGGTGAGAGGTGTGTCTTAGATTTTTGCTGCATATCATACTGGACTGCTATGGTCATGTCTAATACGTTCTTCTTCTTCTTCCTGTTATTACTGTTGGGTACAGATTGACGGAACAATTGTAGCACCAGATGAGCCGAAAAACTGGGATAAAAAAAACCCACGAATTTGGCTTGATTTTTCCAAACTAAATGGAGTCCTTTTCCAGGGCAGTGGAGTTATTGATGGCTCGGGCAGCAAATGGTGGGAGGCATCTTGCAAAAGGAACAAGTCTAATGTAATTTTTCTGAATTACTCATTTACTTGGATCCAATAAACAAATTCCATTTTTTCGTCCTCCTCTGATTTCCTTTATTTATTCCTTTTGTTTCTGACAGCCTTGCGTAGGAGCACCAACTGTAAGGATCTTATTTCTCATAAAACAACAATATTTAGTAAATTTAAAATTGAGTTTTTATTTTCCTGCTCTTTTTCTCTCTGGAAGTAATATGAATAGTTCATTGCAGGCACTAACTATAGACTCAAGCTCAGCTATAAGGGTGAAAGGCCTTACTGTTCAAAACAGCCAACAGATGCATTTCGTCGTTTCCCGCTGTGATTCTGTGCGCTTGTCTGATATACAAATTTCTTCCCCAGAAGACAGTCCAAACACTGATGGAATCCATATCACTGAATCGACAAATGTAGTTCTCCAGAACTGTAAAATTGGAACAGGTTCCCAAATCCCACCCTCTGTTTTCTCATACTTTTTCATAAAAAAAAAAAAAAAAAACTAAATGCATTTGACCTTATTAGTCGTACATAGTTTCCATTCTTTTGTCACTCAGCTAATGGTAATAAAACATATGAATAGCACGTCTACGTCATACAAAATCAATGATTGTTGTCACAAGGTACGGACAAATTAGTGGTTCTTGATATTCTGTTTAGGGGACGATTGCATCTCGATTGTCAATGCTAGCTCAAATATCAAGATGAAGACAATCTACTGCGGACCCGGTCATGGAATTAGGTATGTAGTTCAAAATCTATTCCCACTCAAATTAAGCTGTTGATAATTGGTTACTTATTCTATTTACTACTCTGTTATATCAATTGAAACTCAGTGTGGGGTAAATAAATGTGATTAGAACCCATAAAGTACGTGAAAATTGTTAGAATTATTAGCTCCATGGTTTCAGAGGTCGTCCATGCTCAATCTTTTGGTGCATAATTTTTGTCTTCCAGCATAGGAAGCCTTGGGAAGGCCAACTCCACAGGCATAGTCACAAGGGTCGTCTTGGATACAGCATTCCTCAGGGAGACTACCAATGGCCTTCGGATTAAAACTTGGCAGGTAATTCTGGTAGTACATTATTAGAATCAAGCAATTTTCAATATCATGATGATGAAATTTACCAAATTTTTTAATTTTAAAATTTTAATTTTGGTGGTTGGGAGGAGGGAGGGGTGGACTATAAGGAAAAAGAGATCAAGAATTTGGTTCTGTTACTTGAATGAGAAAAGTCTAAAAGTTATCTTAGGGAATTATACTTCAAAGGAGTACGAAAATGATTATTGTGATGCTTTGAAGCAGCACTTCACATTATTTTCATTACCAACTACTTCTGTGGTTGAGTTGAACACTTTACCCCCATGTGGTTTTACTCTATGTGCGGTCTACCTTCTGACATTTATAAATAAGCACATAGCCTCCCTATTGTTTGTGGAGTAATGTGCACTTCCAAACTTTCTGTCAAAGTTAACAGTCAATGTGAAACACATGCCTACAATGTGAATGGCTCTGTTAAAACACCTTTTCTGCCCAAAAAAGATGACGAATGGCCCTTACTTTGCACACTGTTAAGGTTACTTATGCGTACAGGGATATTTTGGTTTAAGTCATTAACGGTATAGATGATGCACTTTAGTCCACAAATTATAAGAGGATGATGTGCTTATTTCTAAATGTCAAGGGGGTTAAAAACTGCATATGGAGTAGACCATATAAAGCGAATTTTTTGCTCAACTAAATATGTTTTAGAGAACATTTTTTACAACTAGTGGATATGCTTGTCACCAAATTTCTCATACAAGCCTCACAAAGCTCATCAAGAAAATGTATCATGATTGATCCTTTTTTAATAGAAACAATTCCTTCTGATAACATGTTCAAAGCATAAAATGTATCCAAATATCCCAACCATTACCTTGTTCAGAATGACAAAGATACCTCTCTTTCTGGCTCTCTGGTGTAGGGAGGATCTGGTTACGTTCGTTCCGTACGTTACCAAAATGTGAGAATGGAAGATGTTTCAAATCCCATCATCATTGACCAGTTCTACTGTGATTCCCCAACTGCTTGTCAGAATCAGGTAAAACCTACATGTTCAAACTCTTCAATTCTGAAAAATGTGTATTAGTTGCAACCATTTCAATAAAAATGTACATATCATGATCTATCTTCTTCTTCTTTCTCTTTTATTTTTTATTTTTTTTAGACAGAAGCTGTGGAAATAAGTGAAATCATGTACCGGAACATTAGCGGGACTTCAAAGAGCGAAAGGGCCATGAAATTTGCCTGCAGCGACACAGTTCCGTGCAAACACATAATCCTGAACAACATCAACCTAGGAAAAACTGATGGCACAGTTGAGACCTATTGCAACTCCGCTACTGGCTTTGGGTACGGATACGTGCAGCCTTCGGCAGAATGCCTGACTTCCTCCGACAAGAAGTTCATTATTGAGCAGACCAATGAGGTTGAGCCTCCAAAACACAGCAGAGATGATATCATTCATACTGAGCTCTGACTTATCTCCTTATATGAGGTAATTAATACTAGGTGACTGTAAAATTTATTCTTATAGTATTGATTAGTAGAGGACTAGCCTCTGAGGGGTCTAAAAAAAAAAACAAATTTCAAGGGTAATAACAGAAGTGATCATTATACTTTTATACAGGAATTATAATGTAACAAGTTCAGGAGGACAGTAGTAAGCATATTATATGTAATATACTTGAAATGATTTATATGAAATTTAATATAGTTGTTATATGGTTTTATGTATCCTGATTTAAAACATACTTGTGTGCCCTAAATCAATTTAAAAATAATGAATCATTGACTATCCAGATTAGGGGTATCTAAGGTGGGTTGAATAAAAACCACTTGATGCCTGGCTTTCTTCAGAATTGGTTTAGCTTTAAGAATGCTCCTCCGGATATGAGAAGCATAGTTTTGTGGGGCAAATCAATTTATCCTTGGGGAAAATGTTTGGGACCCCACAAAGGAGGACCCCACAACCCCCACTGATGCATTGATTATTGATGTGTTTGAATTTTTTTTTTTCTATCTCTGACAGAGACATGAATGGTCCCAATCATTTTGGGAGTTGTGGGGTTGTGTTTTGTGGGGGTCTCTATCATTACTGTTATCCTTTGGACTTTACATATTATAATTAGGAAAATACTTGGGACCCCCATTTTGGGGGACTCCCAAATGATTATGATTGGTCATGTGTGTTTTTGGTTTTTTGTTTTTTCCTATCTCTCTAACATGTGCATGGGGTCGTGAGAATGGGTTGTTTGTAGGGTTCTGTATCATTTCTGTTATAATTATTTGTGTGCACTTTTTTCTTTTTTTTTTTTGAGATGACCTAACTCATAGCAGAAGGCATCTAAAAAAAAATTATACAATAACACACAGAAAAATTCTTTACAGGCTAACAGAATAAACATCCAATTACTAAAGAATCAGCTGCAGAATTCAATCCAAGTGGTCTGTTTCACATAAAAAGAAGTTTGCAAGATTCAAACACAGCACCTTTGGTTGAAAGAGTAACTTATTTCCATTTAGCGACCAAACCTCGTTTATATATTATAAAAAAAATATTATTTAAGGTATTTATTATATTTAATTCCAAATATACTTCACAATTTTACAAAACTAATTTCACATAAAAATACCACAGTAAAAAAAAAAAAAAATTCCAAGAATAATAGTATAATCACTATGTCACCTTAACTTTAGTTTATATTTGCAAAATATATATTATTATAACATTTTCTTTCAAACATTATATATAATTAATATATTTTACAAAAAAAAAATATAACTATATTTATGCAATTATATGTATCTTAAAATATAAAATAATTTAAATAAATGTATCTTAATTTTTATATTATTATTAAGTAATTTTTAATATATCTATAAAATAATTATGACGTCACAATTCGATTTTAGTTCGAATCAGCAGTCGAACCGGTGATCCATCCACTCAATCTAATTTTCGGTTAGCTCACCGGTTTGATTTTTAAAACATTGATTATTCTACACCCAATTGACACATCAGTAGGCTACTGTATTCGGTGTTAGTGGTCGGCTCACAAATCATTTTTCTAATAGGGAAAGTGATGCTTTATTGGCCGATAAAATGGACCGAGTTTAAGACCAAAATACACATAGATTGTATCAAGAAAGTAGGATTATATAGCAATATCTCTATCTCTTTATAATTTTATAATCAAGGTGGTCATTAGTTTAAAAAACAAAGCAACTTAACTCATTTGTCTTAAGCTAAGCATCGACTAGTATATTTATGACAAAAATCCAACAAAGATGAATGATTGCCACCTATACATGATTTGAATAACTAATTCAAAATTCTACGCAAGAAGTCAACCAAAACAAAATCAATTATACAAAATCATTTTGATTGTATATACCAAATGGTGAGATTTATCGTAAAAGATACAGTTTTGCTTCAATTAATCTGTGTTTTTTGTTATTAATTCTCCAATTGATTTTGTGTTTGTAGACTTGTTAAGTTATTTTTAGTCAGTAATGTTGTTTTTGTTAGCATTGAATCCATTATTTGAATACAACATAGAAACTATCTAGATTCCCATTTTGATGTGGTTTCAATTGTGTGAGGAACCAATATAAACAATCATATATATACTCAAATACAAATTTATTGATAGTGATTAGAAGCAATTTCCCAAGGGGCATGGTCTTTTTTATCCAAATTTTGGTTGTAGCAGTGTCACTTAATGAGATGCATGTAATTTTGACTGAGAATGATTGAGAAATTAGGACACACAAAGGTTCCAAATGCAGATGCCAACAGGCCTGCCCTGAATCTCATCTCATTAAAATCTAGCATTCCTTCAATCTTAAATACAAATTGGCAAATTATATTTTGCATCCTTACATTTTACATCCAATCTCACTTTGTCCCTAACCTTTTAATTACCTTAGTCAATCTCTTAGATTTTGAGTCAAGTTACAATTGAGTCCGGTCATTAATACTACCACGTGGTTGTTTTCCGTTAGTTTTCAAAATGACATTATGCAAATGGGCTCACAAAATTTAAAGAGTAGGTTGAGACAATTAAAAGAGCAATGAATAAAGTAAGATTAGATGTAAAGTGTAGACTGCGAAGTGAAATTTACCCAATACAAATTTCGTAGAAATGTTATATACTTAGAAAAAATTCACAAAATTCAGATTCATGGTGTAAATATAAATTTGGTAGGGTGTAGTCCACACTTTGAATAAATTTAATTTACATATTTTAAATTCTGAACATTTTTCTAAATACATAGCATTACTAGTTTGAATTAGATCTATCTTGATTAGTATCTTCTCATATGCTTTTGAGGAAGGATGTTCTTCACTCTCTTCTCTCTTTCCGGCCGGCTTTGGAGTAGTCCATAGTTGCTTTTTGATGTTTTGTAGTAGTTTTGTCTTTGTGCTGTTTGAGTTTGTATAATGGACTCTTTTCACTAATTAAAAAAAGAGTCCATTCTTGTTAATGTTAAGGTGTGTGGAACAAGGACCACTTATCAATTTAGATTTCAAAAGAAAGTTATGTCTTGTTAATTGAATTGGTGCTCACTAATGAATTGAGTACTCTCTATTTGTTAAGGTATTCATGCAAAAAATTTAAGATGATTAGAGAGATCAATAATTATATGTTTAGTGTCTGTCCAAAGCCATGGGTGTAACAAGTAAGGGTACAATGCAAACAAGAAAAATTAAAATAAAAAATATTTATTATTATTTTTAAAGCTAACTGATCCCGTGGGGATTAAGCCTAGGGCCTTCTTATTTTACAAAATGAGTTGAGCTGAGTCACAAATCAAAACATTAGGCCTAAACCCTACTCAATAGTCTTAGGACTCAGGCTAGATTGGCTCACTGGCCGATCGACAAACCACCTCTCACACTTCAACAAGTAGGCTAGTACATGGGTTTAGCCCAAAGCACCGAGATTTAGGCCAATGTTTTTTTTTAATTTTGTTTTCTTGTTTTTTTCATTTCTACTTTTGTTTTTTTAATATATTTTGTCGGGCTCACGGTTGACCATCTCTCACAAGTCAATGAATCGAGTTTCAAACGCTAAGCCTAAGTTCAAAATAATGTTAAATCTTAACACATAAAATTAAATTTTATTTTTGTTACTTTTCATCAATTAAAACACCAACCTAGACAATTGTAACAACTTTATTAGAGATGCTCTAACCTAGTGTAGCCTCTGGTTTCTAACAATAATGGGTTTGTACTTTGTACTATAAGTGATGTTTTTGTTCTCAAATGTACACATGAAGGACCAATTTGTCCATAATGAACATTCCAAGTTGGAAGACAAATTAATGCATGTTTAATTATGGTCATAGCCCTTTTTTTCAATGCACATTTTTGCTGATGATAACGTTCGTGTGATTTAGAATCATGTGCATGGACTGTCGTGGGTCATACATACATGTATGTATAGCTTGGATTATAGGCAAAGTTACATTGGAAAAAAGCAACAAGAACAAAAAGAGTTTGAGATCATCATCATGACCTCTAAAAAATTAAAAAGAAAATGTCGGCAACTCTGGGATTTATTTGAATTTTTATTTTATTTTTTTAGTAATTTTTTAACTAAAATATGAAGTAAAAAAAATATTAAAAAAATTACAACTCAGTGGTGATTTTACAAAATAATTACAAATTCATAAAAAAACTTTAGACTTTAGTTATTAATGTACATAAACTTTACCACTTATTTGACATTATTTGTAAAAACTTACATTGAATTGTAATTGTTTCAAAAATAAAATGTTTGGAAATGACTTTTTGATTTTTTATTAAAAAAAAAACATGTAAAAAGTAGAAAGAATGGAAAGGAATCTTTGATTTATATATATATATTGACATTTTGACATTTTTAATGGTTTTTTGACATTTTAATTATTTTAACATATTGCCAAATAATCCTTAATGTTATAGACACAAAATTCAATCACGTACAAAAAAAATATTTGCTCCTCAATTTGTTTAAATTCAAAGCTGTTGAGCAGTGTGGATGTTAATAAGTATTATCTTGGCCTCGTTTGAGAATAGGTTTTTTTAGTAATTTTTTGATTTTTTGACTAAAATGTGATATAAAAAAAATTAGTATGTGTGGGTAGGAATGGCAACGGGGCAGGGCGGGGCCGGGGATCACCCTCCCCGTCTCCGATCCCCGAAACTACAAAAATCCCCGTCCCCGGCCCCGATCCCCGACGGGAAACTCATCACTCCCCCCATCTCCGTCCCCAACAGGGATCGGGTTTCCCCGACCCCGGAAAATCCCCGTACTCATCATCAACAACATTATTCAGCAACATCATCAAAAAAAAAAAAAAATCATCAACAAAGACATTAACGGAGCAACATCATCAAAAAAAAAAATTTCTTCAACAACATCATCGATTCAAGGCAGCAACAGCAACATCATCAACAAAAAATAAATAAATAAATAAAAGATAGAGATGATCTGTTACAAATCATGGAAATCATGTATAAACACAACAGATAGAGATGATAGAGATGTATAAACACAACATCATCAACAAAAATAAAATAAAAAAAAAAGATAGAAATGATCTATTACAGATCAGTGAGATCGGCGAGATTTGGGAGGAGGGAGAGGACAGCGGAGGAACCACTCAATTCGGAGATGGGATCTGATCTTTTTAGATCTGAGATGTGAGATGTAAGATCTGCGGTGGTGTAGAGGAGATTG